AAATAGATATTCATAACAGAGGGGATGAGAGTGATAAAGATAGTATTATATATGACATAAGGCGTGGCAGTAGACAGGATGCATGTTTATTTGTTATCCACAACAAAAAACACAAAAATTGGAAAACACAAGTCAAAGTGCCTTCAACCTATCACTCTTCACTCTCATTTTTTTGGTAGAACACTTGCTTCTCATCCAAGTGAAGCCATGAGCTTGAAGTATTACTCTTTATACCAAAAAAAAAATCATGATATACTTAGAAGTAAGTAAAAGAGAAAACTATATCATAACAACCTCAATTAACTAAAATATAACAAATGTACCTTATCTTTATGCTTTATTATCATTTAGAGGTGATCAACATGTCCATTTCTTTAGCATATACAAGATAGATGCAGTCTTGTTCACCACGATATATTTATGACCAAACTTAATTTCAAATTCCACCTCATTTCCAGGCTTCAAATTAGACACTATGCTCTGCCATTCTTCATCAGAAAAAGTTGTTGCAACTTCTTGCTTGTAGAACCTTTGTGAAATTCTTCATCATAATACCAACAATTATATAGATGACATGCTATCTTGAAGAGATGAATAAATAATGTTGAGGACCATTCCTTTTAAGCTATGACAAAAAACTTGAGGAACTTTAAATGACAAAGATCCCTCATGTTCAAAAACTAACCAATCATGATTATTTTCTTTAGGTAGAGAATAGTGAAGCCCTTCATTCCTCTATCCCTATTCCAAGAACAAAAGGAAAAAGTCACCCCACTCAATTGAGAAAATGTAGAAAATAATAGTCACTAGAGTTGATACTCTAAACAAATGGAAAACTTCAATGTTTCATATTTGGCCAACAAGTTTGTCATTGGGTTGAATGGTAAATAGTGTTCCTCATACTGTGTACATTTACCCAAAAAAAACCAAATATTACAAAAAGTATGATCTAGCACATCACATAGATATGACATTGATAAGAGCACATTTTATACTATTATACCTCCAACAATATTTACTCTAATTATTTAAACATGTAAAACAGAAAGGTGTTTTGCCAATTTTGAAAATACTATGCATATGTGGTGGTAGAGAATTAAGATAAAGAGAAACACTTTTAAAAGAGAGAGAATTACAATGAGGTCCCAAGTAAGGAAAACAATTAAAAAACAAGTCCCAAAAATTGTCATTCTCACTATAGAATTTATCATTATAAGCTGTTGAGATTGTTATTGGAACATTTTGGTAATTATTTCTTTTCTGTGGGACTTAATTGTAATTCCCCCTTTAAAATACTCTTTGGAATGGCAGCCATAATTTTCTTGCACCATCCTACTTGAATAGTCAGGGAACTCATCAATATTTCTGACCTTTCCATGTGAACTTGCTCATTAGATTCAAGTAACGATGGAGTATTTTGACATGAAGCTTGAGATGTACTTGTTCTTGCTTTTGATGTTTCACATCTTCTTGAAAATGAGGGATGTGATAGGCCCCTAATTAAAGATGACAAGATCTGAAATGCTCGAGACAAGGACTCTAAACAGTGTGTTAGTGACATCCAAGACAAAACAAATGACGGAAATACATCACGAGCTGATCCTTTATAATCACATAAAGACAAATATTTAATGTTTTTCAATCTCACTAATGAAAATAACACTTGTGCTATAGCAGTTTGATTTGCATCCAAAGTTGTCAAAGATTCCATCTTCATTGAATAGAATTTTTGAAAGTAATTTGAAAGAATTAGAAGCCCAAGTGCGAATTTGGATTATGTTCTCATGCTCAAAAACACTTATGACTTGTGTTGGAATCATAGTAGAATCTTTCAAAAGTAACTTTTAATCATAATTTATGATATACGAGGTATGTATATGAAAGAGGTTTTGTTTCGAATTGTGTGAACAAGTGATTTTGAGAATCCTAACTTAAGGCCTGTTTGGGTAACATAAGAAACCATGGCGGTTTGGGTCCCAGATTTGCCAAACATGGGAAAAATTAACAAACTATGATTTTGGACTCAAAACTATGGTTTCAGAAAAAGTGAATTCATGCTGTTTTTGGCTTAAATTGGAGAGTATGATTGTGATTGTTAGAGTAGATCTTAATGATAATGTGACTTTAACATCCCTTAATTATTTTTTATAAACATATTTAATCTTATATTTTATAAATATATATACACATATTAATTATTTATTAATTACATTATCTTATATATTATTAATTATGTTGGTAAAATATATATTATTAACAAGTTTATTTTTTCAAATTAAAATATATTATAAAATCTATCTTTTATATAATTATCATATTAACTTATGTATTGTTTAGTAATTTGCACATATAAAAAGTACTTCTAATAATAACTATTCAAACACTCTCACATTATCATAATCATTTTTTCACAAAATTTATTCTTCATAAAATCTATTCTCCCAGAAATCCATTTTTTAGAAGCTATTCTTCAAACTATGATTTGATTTTATCCAAACACCTCCCTAATCCTAAACAAGCATTATTTATGTAAGTCGTGTTTAAATTTTCCTCACATACTTTGTAATCCATAAATTATGATGAAAAAGAAAATGTTTTTGAAGGATTACAAACAACCACTAGATTACTTTGACTTGATCTACTTAATTTGAATGTGAGACCAATACACACACACCAAGAGCTGCTTATTTTGTCTGTTTTTATCGCTAATTTTTCAACATTTTTTATTTTAATGATCTTCCATGTGTTGAGGTGGGGGTAGCTGAGTCATGACATTATGATGGATGATGTGTCATCATGTAGAAGAAAAATAAGATTCACCATAAACATATGAGAAGAAAAGTTGGAGTCATCTATTAAAAATAAAATGATAAAAAATCACTTAGGTGGTGTCTCCAACACGCATGAAAAAAGGCTATTTGCATGGATAAAAAGAATAGATCAAAAAGTATGGAAGCCCTTCAAAAAGATTTGGAAAAAATTAAAGAAAATACTTCATAAAATTGTGGAGTAAATCTTCAGATTAATAATTTATCTAAAAATTTAGTTGTTAGTAGAATATGATGACACCATGTGAGAGGATGACACTTCGTAAGATAAAATTTCTCGTTGTCGGTATCTCCTACACTGCACCTCCCATTTCTCACAAAACTACGCAAGTATGTTTATTTTCTTTATTTTAGGCACCAATTACGCAAGTATGGTTACTTATTCTTCTAATTGATTTCACATCTTTTGTTTCTCAAAATTTTCAGTGATATTTTCTTCTTTTTTTTTCTTTTGGTGCCAACGGTATTTCATTTGATCGTTAATAATGCAAAATATACCTATGGCAACCTCTTAAGGCGCATATGGGACTAAGACCTACTGGGGGAAAAAAAAAAACAAGATAAAAAAGATGGGACTAACACCTATGTAGCTTTTTCTTCCCCCTCCGAGACCTCCTCTCTAGTATTCACCAAGTCACTCTTGACAAACTTTGACCGGATAAATATCTACATTAATACTAACCAAGATAGAAAGGTATTATGCAATGATATTTGACTAGAACTTGTTCTAGTAACTAGCAAGGGAATTTTCTGTAACCTATAACCTTTACCAAGTCCCTCTTGACAAACTGTGAGGAGCAATAATTCATTATCCAAGTTAAGATCTTTTCAAAAATAGGAGATAAAAGTCTTTTGACGAGACAGCCAAATTGTGAACCCAGGCACGATTCTGAATCTAATTCTCTTCGATGCCCGCCATTGATTGAACAAGAAGAAGATTTCTTTTTCTTAATTTTTCTCATCCAATTAGTCCATACGCAAGCATCCTAAACATGTAAAAGCAGTTTAGCTTAAAAAAAAAAAAAATTCTACTCCAAGTTTATATCTTTTTTATGTAATGAACAGAACCTTACGACTTACAAGTTCTCCACTTCATTGTATTAAATTATTTAATTATCTGTTCATTATTTTCTTGATAAATATCTATATTTATATCGTCACATCCATTTTCTGATGTTTGTTGGGAAGAAGCATGTTCAAGGGTCCTTTTCGGCTTCATATGTATAAATCAAGTGGGCTTAAAATGTTAAGAGAATGAATCGGCCCGACCTTTTAATAGGCAACGACATAAGTTGATAAGCCCACAAGAATCATTATGTCTTCTGCTGAATCCACTTTACATTTTTCCTCCAACGGCCCATTTCCATACGTCGTGTTGCTCAGGGAAATTTTCGGAGGAGAAAGGATCTCTAGGAACTGAAGAAGATAATGATGATTAAGGAGAATACAATTTTAGTGAATTTTATATTTGGGACGAGGTAGTACTAATTTTGATTATCATTTATTGACGTTTAAAAAAAAATATCAATTGGCAAAAATATCTCCATTCACATTCACAAAGTCCGAAATTTTGGAAGGTCAGAAGAAAACGTAGGAAGAAAAAAATAGAGAAAATTTTAAACAATTAGGAGAGAAAATAATAGACAGGACCTATCACTTTCTTTTCTTTCTTTTTTTTTGTGGTCAAATTGTCTTTCATCCCGTCTTGTTTTACTGACATCTATAGATGACATTTGGTTTGATTATTTTAAGTTGTTATATTTTATTTTAAAAATTATCCATTTTGATTTTTCGGTAGAAAAATGTGTTCATGACAAATAAATTGAATTTAAATTTTTTGTGCACTGGATTTAAAATTATTTTATGGTATTAATTTTAATACGATTTTTACCTTTAACTTACTTTGCCAGAGATAACAACATGACACATAATATATCCTATTGCAAAGATGTTATCATTGTGACATTTTTACCCTGTCAATCAAACTGCATTTTGTATCCTTACATTATTTCCCTAATTTTTTTCTCTCACCATTTTCTATCCTTACATTCCCCCCCCCCCCCTCAACTTTTCTCCCCATCCAAACAAACTCACATGAACATGACTTCTAATAAAAAACAAGCAATATGAATTACAGTCCATTATTGTGTAAGATGATAGAATAGCGCATGATTAACTGGTTCATAAAACAGATTCATTCACCCAAAAATTCACATCCCCTTTGCCTTCTCTTCTGATCAATCTGCTACCAAATTGCTACATTGGGGCCTAATGAACTAAGATAAAACCTGGCCCTGTAATATGACCCTTTACAAAATCAACTAGAAAACTACAATCAGTTTCAACTAAAGCTTTATCACAGACCAAATTATTTGGTTTAGTCCTAAAAGCAAGTGCCGCAGCATATATAGCAGAAAGCAGCTTCACGCTTTGAGATAACTAAAGCCAAATGCTGCATAAGTATTCAGTTTGAGCTCACAGGCCAAGAAAGAGGCCACTTCGCATCTACAGTACTTGTGTTAGAAGGAAACACAGAATTGAGCTATCCATGAGTCATCGTCTGGTAGCATCCGTGCACTGCTCAGGGTCACCTAGAGTCACACACAACACAAAATGAACAACTAGACCACTGTTTACAACAAAGTCAACCTCAAAAGTTAGATAACCCTCTTAATTCACCATAAAATAGCTTTCAAATCACTTGAATAATCAATACGTCGTTCAAACTATCACTGGCCGCACATAAAGTCCACATGGGGTCAGTTGGTTTAGATCATTACGCCCAGAACAAGGTAGTTTCTAAATATACCAGCACATTGGAGAAGACGATCCCTAGCTGAGTATTACACCAAGTATAGTTCAACCAGTTGCATAAGAGAAAATAATTTCAAAATTTTCCATACCTGAGCCACAATTGAGAAGACCTTCTAGTAGAGCACCAGTTCTCTATTGTGACAGGCATGCCAGAGGAAATGCTTCACTTTAGGCTGCCAGAGGAAATGCTTCACTTTAGGCTGTACTTTCAGCTTCCATTGTTGAAGTGCTTGGTCCTTTAACTGGCTGGGAAACAAGTTCTTTTTATGGTAGTGGTTTTCTTCTAAAGATAATTCACCTACAGAAGATGTACTCCAAAATTTAACAAATTCTCCTATTTGTGATCAGTAACAGGGATGAGCATATAAGAATTTTATGGTAACCCAGAAAAGAAGAGAGAGAACAACGTAGTCTTTTGTGTACTGTACACCAGTATTTAATCAAGAAACTGGCTAGAAGCAAATAAAACAGATCGAGGACCTCAATGTTCAAGAGTAGAAACAATAGTAGAACGAAACAAAGGAGGAAAATCAGCAGGTAAAGATTTTAGGATTTGAATAGGCAATTATTCGACAAGTTCAAATCAGCACCTGAATTTAATTTTAAATTTTAAGAACCAAAATTAGTAGCGGAAACTCAATGAAGAATATCTTACTAAAGCCATCTCTAACATCTTCATTCTCAAAGACCACCTTACTAAAGCTTTGACTAATAATGGAAATTTTTGAGAACTTCCTAGAGCAAAATATTTTGATCCTTAAGAAATATTATAGTTCTAGCTAGCTTTAAAATTCCTAAGGCGTCGAATGGAATTGCATCTCCAGTCTCGTGTCCCTTTTCTGCCCCAGTTGCTCAAAAAGACTACAGTCCCCTCATGCTGTTGAAGAGGTGATTCAATAAATTAACCATAAAAGTCACCAAAAAAAGAAGGAAAAAGAAATTAAAAAAAAAAAAGAAATTTGAACAATATTTTCAATTACAAATATTCAAAAACCTCCAACATTTTGTCCGTTTGGAATCCTACCTACATTACATAGATGATGGTGTTTTATGCAACCCATTATCAAAATTTTGTGTCATTTTCTCATTTCAAATTGGCTTTTCTGATCTATAGTCTTTCACCTTGGAATACAATACCTCCTTGAAAGAATTTCGTTAGAGACAAATAGGGGCTCAAGACTGGATATGTTTAGTAGAAACCAGTGTGAAATTCTGACATGGTCATCTTCAAACATTTTCAAACAAAGAGCTTCATTTGAGGTAGCAAAATTGGTCACCAGCATATCGCCATTTTAATATCAAGTCAGCAACATGGAACTACGCAAAGTCAGCATGTAATTGCACTGTTATAATTATCATGAACTATGTAAATAGATATTCATAACACAGGATGAAAGTGATAAAGAGAGTATTATGTATGATATAAGAGATGGAACAGGACAAGACGTGTGTTTCTTTGCTTTCTGCAACAAATGACATAAAAGATGAAAAACATAAATAAGAAAACCTTTAAACCTATCACTCTTCACTTAATTTTTTTTTGGGAGAACACTTGCGTTTTATTTAAATGAACCCTTGAGCTTGAAGCACTATCCTTCAAACAAAACTAAAAAAAGTCATACTAGATTTAAAAAATAAGTAAGAGAATCTTATATCATAACAATCCCAATTAACTAAAAGATAACAAATGTACCTTAACCTTATGATTGAATGCCATCTAGAGGGATCAGCTTGTCAGTTTCTTCAACATATAAAAGATAAACTGCAGTCTTCTTCATCACAATATGTTTGTATGCAAACTTGATTTCAATTTCCACCTCATTTCCAGGCTCCAAATTAGATACTATGTTCTGCCATTCTTCATTGGCAGAAGTAATTATTGTGACTTCTTGCTCGTAGAAATGCATGGTAGCCTTTGTGAAATTCTTTATCATGAGACCAATAGAGTTTACAGATACCATGCTACCTTGAAGAGATGAATAGATAACGCTGAGGACCATTCCCTTTAAGCTATGACCAGAAACTTCAGGAACTTCAAATGACACTGAAGATCCCTCATGTTCAAAAACTAACCAATCAGGATAATTTTCTTTAGGAGGACAATAGTGAAGCCCTCCATTCCTTCCCTATTCCAAGAACACAAGGAAAGAGTCTTCCCATTCAATCAATCTAGAAAATATGGAAAATAATATTCACAAGAATAGTTGACACTCTAAGCAAATCAAAAACCTCAATGTTTAATACATGGCAAACAGGTTTGTCACAGGGATAAATGGTAAATATAGTGTTAACTATGCCACGTACATTTACGCACACAAAAACAACATATTTACTAAAAGTATGATCTAGCATTACTATAAAAATATAATACCGATAAAAGCACATTTATATTGTTGTACCTTCAACTCTCGAACATTTACTCATAGATAGTTAAACATGTATGGCAGAAACGTGCCCTCCCGGTATTGAAAAGATTATGCATATGAGATAAGAGAGAGAATTAATTAAGATAGAGAGAAATACCTTTGAAATACTCTTTAGAAGGGCATCTGTAATTTTGTTGAACTGCCCTACTGGAATAATCAAAGAACTCATCAATGTTTCTGACTTTCTCTGTGAACTTGATCATGAAATTCAAGTAATGCCGGAGCATTTTGGCATGAAACCTGAGATGTGCTCGGTCTTGCTTCTGATGTTTCATATCTTCTTGAAGATAAAGGATGTGATAGACCCCTAATTAAAGCTGGCATGGACCAAAATGCTTGCGACAATGACTTTGAATAATGTGTTGATGGTGACATCCAAGACAAAGAAAGAGATGGAAATACATCACGTGATAATCCTTCATAGCCACACAGAGACACATATTTAATACTTTCAGTCTCAACAATGAGAAAGGAACTTGAGCCATAGAAGTTTGATTTGCCATCAAAGTTGTTAAAGATTCCATTTGTTCAATGTCTTCTTCTAGCTTTTCAAACTTTGAACAACCAGAGAGATTGAGGGTCTTCAAGGATTTCAATTGATATACACTTCTCGGGAGGTGGCTGAGGCTTTTACAGTCCTTTAAATTTAACATAACAATATATTGAAGATCACCAATGGAATGGTGAATTATAGACAAACGAGGACAATCTTGAGTATTAACTTTTCAAGATATGGTATCTTTGAAAAGTCAGGTGTCTCTATTAAGCAATGAGAATGACTAAGGTTGAGAATTTTCAACCCTCCAGCAACTGTGAAAAGCAGATAGTTTAAATAAAAATAATAATAAAAGGGAAATAACAGATGGAAACAAATAGAAATACTGTCATTAGTGTTTCATTCCAAGAACTCAATGTAAGTACCTGGCTCTTCTCCCAAACTTTCACAAGATTACTCCACTTTAAGTCAATGGCAACTATCTTCTCTAGATTGAAGTTCATTGGCAAGCTTTCTAAGGGAAACCCATGCCAACAAAGCCATCTCAAATTTGTTGATAGATAACTATAATCTCCAATAAGTTGTACATTATCAAGTTGAAGAACGAAGCCTCCTCATATTCTTAAATGTTTTGGCACTCAAGTACAATGAATTGTTCATTGACAAGTTTAAAGCCAGTCCTTTGATGGACATTGTTCCCTGCCAAATAAAAACAAACAAAAAACAAAATCTTTTGGTGATTAAATCATTAAGATAAAGGTTTACAATTGGCAAGAAAAAGATAAGAGCATATTGAATAATAAGAAACATAAGGAAATAATTCAATTAAGTCATTCAGAAATATTCTTACAGTTTTATCTCTTAACACATCCAACACATTGTCATGAAACCATAATCTAGTACGTTTCTCAGGCTCCTCTAATGACTGCTGACGAATAATTTCTCTTCCCATGTCACGCAACAAGTCATGCATTTCAAGCTT